TGCAGAAAGCCTGGAGGGTGGTGAAGGTCCGAATCTCCACGGGGAGCTCGTCCCAGAGGGCCGGAGCAGCCACCGAAAAGGCCCTCCTCCGGGTAGGAGCCAATTGGCATTGGCCAGTGGATGGAACTCGGAGGAGGCCTAATCTGTGGGATCTAATCGGTCTGTTGGAGGTAATTGGAGTATTGGAGATGTACATCTGTCTTAAGTGATTTATAAAAATAATAAAGGCTGGATATTTTTTTAAAAAAACATTTAAAAGTTAAGAGTTAAAAGTTAACATGTTAAAGGTTTTGTTTTTTAGAGGAGGCTGTGGCAGAAGCAGCTTTATCTTGTGTGCTTTCAATGCAAAGGGCTGTTTTTCCACACTTAATTTTTACAACAATCCTGCCAGGTAGGCAAACCTTATTATCAACACTACTGTTGCAAGAGAGGCAGGAAGGTTTAGTCAACTGAGGGGGTCCTGAGATTACAAAGTCAAGGCACTTCAGGAGTTCTCATTAGGAGAAAGCCCTATTCCTTGCCTCATTAGATGAATATAGGTACAAAAGGCATAAAAGAATCACCCTGGTCTGAAATATCTTTGGCGGCTAAGCGAGATCTTAAGAGTTCTAGTCAGCGATCACTTAAACATGAGCCAGCAGTGTGCGGCGGCAGCTGAAAAAGCTAATATGATCCTTGGTTGCATAAACAGAGGCACAGAATCAAAATCACATGAAATATTAGTAATGCTATATAAAGCCTTAGTAAGAGCACACCTGGAATACTGCATCTAGTTTTGGTCACTACATTACAAAAAAGATGTTGAGGCTTTGGAAAAAGTGCAGAGAACTACGATGATCAAAGGCCTGGAGACTAAAGCAGATGAAGAACAGTTGCAGGAATTGGGTATGGCCAGTCTAGAGAAAGAAGATGGGTCAACTTATTTTCCAAAGCATCAGAGGGGAGGAGAAGAAACAATGGATAGAGACCAGTGGTGAAATTCAATTTTTTTACTACCGGTTCTGTGGGCCTGGCTTGGTGGGCGTGGCAGGGGAAGGATACTGCAAAATCCCCATTCCCTCCCCACTCTGGGGTCAGCCAGAGATGGTATTTGCCAGGTCTCCAAACTACTCAACATTTCCACTACCGGTTCTCCAGAACCTGTCAGAACCTGCTGAATTTCACCCCCCCCCCCATGGAGACTAATCCAGGAGAGAAGACACCTGGAATTAAGGAGAAATTTCCTAACAGTGAGAACAATTAACCGGTGGAACAGCTTGGCTCCAGAGGCTGTGAGCGCTCCATCACTGGAGGCTTTTAAGAAGAGTCCGAAATGGAATGGGGTGTGCTGCTTGAGCAGGGGTTGGACTAGAAGACCTCCAAGGCCCCTTCCAGATCTATTCTGATTGTCGCGATCCTTGGGAATCTCAGTTCTCAATCCCTACGGCTACCCCGCGCCTGTCTCCGCCGCTCCCCCCCTTAGTTATTGCAGGGCTCGGCTGACTCGCCGGGAGCTCCAAGCCTCGTTTTCTCCACAAGGGAAAGATCAGATCAGCTGATTCCCCACCAGCCAATGCAGGCCGGGGGATTTCCGCCTCCCGCACGGTCCGGCCTCTCCTCCAAGCGTCGGGACCACTTCCCACCCTGCGGACGAGCTCGGAGAGGCATGGAGGAGGAGCAGGAGCAGGAAGAGGAGGCAGCATGGACGAGTCCAGCATCTTGAGGCGCCGAGGGCTGCAGGTGAGCAGGGTGGGAGTGGAGATCCATCGCGGGCAGGTACGGATGGGGAAGAAGCTAAGGAAACCGGAGCCCTTTTGCAGATAAGCCGGGGAGGAAAGGATTTCCCTCGATTCCTAGCTGAAGACCACTAGGCGCGCCAGCCGATCTCCTTGTCTCTTTTCTGCAAACCGATCTGCTGCGCTTTTCAGGGTGTTGCTTGAGCGAGGGGGGGTAGAATTGATTCGGGGGGCAGCAGAAGGTGAGTGTGCAAGGAAGGCACTGAGAAGGTGGCTGGGTGGACGAGTGTGTCTACCAGCGTGGGCATCTTTTCGCCGGGAAGAGCCCTGTTGCAAAAGCGGGGCGTGTTTCGTGCCGGCTGGACGTTCCCAACGGCTGCCGATAAGGGGCGCTAGTGAGCTGCAGCGAAAAAAAGGAACTCGGTCCTCTTCTTCCCGCTCGATCCCCGCTCGGCTCTTGCGTTGGGCAGCGGGATCGGGGTGCCTCCGGCTGTCTCGAAACGCTCGGTGGCTTTCCGCCGCCTCTGCTTTTTATGGGGCTCCCCCATCGGGGCCGCGCCGTAATGAAGAACACGCCTTGAAAGTGGATGGAAACCACAGAGAAGCGCAGGGAATGTTGTGGCGATCCACCCTAAGAAGAGAAAGATGCTGGAATTCTGGAGGAATGGGAAGAAAATCCCTGGTTTCTTAGTGGCTTTGAGAATCTGGTTCAGTCCGGTGTTTCTCGGGCAGCAGAGAAGATTCGGCCCCTTCAGTTTAGGTGGGAGGGTGGCTGAGCCATCTCCCCCCACTACTCTCTGATAGCCAGTATTGGAGATCATGTGTCCTAAGTCACCAAAGTATTTGCTCTGTAAATAGTCACCAGGAGCAGATCTTTTTCGACCATTTACTGTTCATTCATTTAAGGCAAAATGAATAAATAGAGGAAGGCAATAGCTCAGTGGCTAAGATGCTGAGCCTGTCAATCAGAAAGGCCGGCAGTTCGGAGGTTCAAATCCCTAGCGCTGCGTAATGGAGTGAGCTCCCGTTTGAGCTCCCGTTACTTGTCCCAGCTTCTGCTGACCTAGCAGTTCAAAAGCACATAAAAATGCAAGTAGAAAAATAGGAACCACCTTGGTGGAACTGTAACAGTGCTCTGTGTGCCTTTGCTGTTTAGTCATTGCTGGCCACATCACCGCAGAGACATCTTCATTCAGGGCTGGCTCTTCGACTTTGAAACGGAGATGTGCACCATCCCCTTGAGTCGGGAACGACTAGCACAATATGTGTGAGGGGAACCTTTACCTTTACATAAATAAATGCAGGCAGGGGTGTGAAACTGCATATTCAGCAATATTTTTAAATGCCAATAACTTTAGATAAATGAAACCGTTCGGTAGTCAGAGCTGATATGAAAATGCTAAAATCAGGCTGAATGATGTAGGTCCAGAAATGCATGTGTGATTATTTATGTGCCACCCATCTCCCTGTCAAATGACTTTGGGTGGCTTACCACGTCATAGAACAACAATATAAAACAATGAGCGTGTTAAAGACATTAGAAATTAAAGCATTAAATGTTAACAAAAAGTAGATTAAAAAGGAACAAACACACAAATGGGGTGGAAGTGGGATCTTAATGTACCAGCCACCTCCTCCTAAGTGGGATGCCTCCTTGGGGCCCCAGACCAATTAGAGTCAGGTTTTGAGGCCCTTTTGGAAGGCCAAGAAAGGGAGGGGGGGGGCAGGTCTCACCTTGAAGGTCATTATATTTCTTTTTTTTTTAAAGTTTTATTATTTTTTAAATTACAAAAATAAACATTCCATCTTTCCTTATGCAGTGTGTCGTGTGGGTACAAACATCTCTGTGCAACATCGTTCCTCTTTTGCCACATCTTTCACATTCATATTAACCTCATTTCCCTAGGTTTAATATTATAATATATTGAGCATTTAAACGTTATGGAACTCTCCATTTTACCCCCTTAAAGTCTTCTAGTAATGATATCGTATCAACATTAAACATCATTATTCTCATCCTACACATACTAACAGTTTCCATCGTATTCATATCTCTAAGTGCATTATCTACTTTATTTATTAGCTTTCTTCATTTCCTTCGGTTGCTCTTTTCTGCGCTCTTTCCAGAGTCTTTCTCACAACAGTCACTCATGCCCTCGTGACCTCAAGACTGGACTACTGCAATGCGCTCTACATGGGGCAGCCCTTGAAGAGCATTCGGAGACTGCAGCTCGTCCAGAAAGCAGCCGCGCGAGCGATTGTGGGTGCACCTCGGTACAC